GCAACTGCATTAAATGAGTAGAATTACTCCCAATTTACACTTGTGTCCTTCAGAATCTGGCCTAATTTCTCAGAATTTGGCTTACATAAATTTCAGTCTTGACATGGTGGTGGGAGGAGGGGAGAAAGTCTTCCATAAAGAGACCAGATTTCCTATGTTATCAAAAACAATGGAGAGAAATCCATAGAGGCCCAAACCTGAACAAAGACAGTCACATATGCAGGGAGAGCTGCCAATGAATGGTTGCTTAAAAGCATTCCAGTTATCATTAGGAAGCTGTTTTGCAGAGTTTTTAGTACCACAGGGAGAGAAAAGAACTGAAACTAGCAAGATCACAATGGCCATCATGATTTTAACCCTGAGATTCTGCCAACTCCAGCTTTGCTCACTGGACCCCCGGGGTAAAGACACCACACAGAAGGGGCAGGTTGGGATGATTTAGATGCACATACTGAAAAACTGATTCTATTTCAGGGAGTGACCTAGTCTGCTGCATTGACTGACAAGCTCTTCACTCCAATGCTTACTTATGTGATTTCTCCCACTAACAACACTCCAAGCCCAACAGTAGCTAAAGAAGACACCTGGAGCCACTGTTCTTCCAGGAGCAGAAAGCTGGGATAGCGCGGCTGTCCCGACACTAAACCATTTAGTAACGTCTAATGGTGCCCAACTTGTTGCTTTACACGACCTTAATCCTGGCCCAGCCGTCCTAAACCCCTTCACACATTCCTGCCGCATTGTTCCACTCTGTCACGTGCTCTCAGGACTATCACTTGGTATGCAGAGGGCTTTATTACTGCTGATCCAATCCCGACTGCCAGGGCTGTGGGATTCTCACAGTTCTGCTGCAGAACTCCTATTGTTTTTGCCCCCATTGCGTCCCGTCCGGGAACAAAGTAATCTGGTTTCCATAACGTTCCTTGTTGCCTTTTCATAACATGCCGGGCACAGATGTTTAAAATAGACTGGATGAATAGTTAATATGTTATTAATAGATGACAGCTCTTGGCTGGCTTTGAAAGATAGCTCACGTATGGTATGGGGCGGCATATGACAACGGGTCCAGAAATCTATTTCACTCTGACATGGAGTCAATCTAATGTTTCTCCTTGGTTAATCGCAAGACATTTAACTCCCCTTGTGTCACATGGCTGCGTATTGTGCTTGAGTGCTGGCCAAGTCTGTGAGACTTAGAATAGATTTGATAGATGGACTCACATTTTTACCATCGTGGGCAAGACAGAATATGGAAAACGCTCTAGTGCCCTGTGCAGAACTTGGGGAAAGGTGAGAGGAGAATGAGGTGCTGAACAAACCCTGAGTACTACCAGCTGCTTGGCGAACGTAGTAATACTAAGCTTTCCTAGGATGTAGAACACAGTCCCTGCTCCAAAAGCTGCACTGCTCTCAGGCCCTGGCATCAACATTCCAAGAGCTGTACTCACTCAAAGCCTGGATTCCCTGATGCCTGTGAACCCCTGCCCTGACACCCGTGACCCCTCGGGTCCCAGAACCCGAGCCCCCTGCCCTGACACCCGTGTCCCCTCGGGTCCCAGAACCCGAGCCCCCTGCCCTGAGACCCGTGTCCCCTCGGGTCCCAGAACCCGAGCCCCCTGCCTTGACACCCGTGTCCCCTCGGGACCCAGAACCTGAGCCCCCTGTTCTGACACCTGTGTCCCCTTGGGTCCCAGAATCCCTGCCTCGAAGCCTGTATCGCCATAAGCTGTGAAACCTGCATCCCCCTGAGGCCCCAGTATTCCCTGCACCAAGGCCTGTGTCCTCTCAGGCCTGTCTCTGGGACTCACACATCTCTTAGGCCCTGGACCTACTTCATGCCTTGTAAAACCCAGCTCTGTGCCCAGCACTAAACCTGGACTCCTCTCAGTATGTGGGGCTCACATCCCCACCCTCCCTTGGGCCCATGCTCAGAAACCTCCCCTTCACCCCTTAAGTTGTGCTTGAGAATCTGTATTCTCCTCAGGCCATAGTACCCTGCTCCAACCCCCACCCAAACCTTGGTCTCTGGGACCTCCACACAGAGCTGGGCTGTTCAACAGAAGCATAAAAGCACATCAGCTCCCTCTGTTTTATAAAGGGAATATTGCAGAAAAAAGGCAGTCCTTAAAGTTACCTTTGCGCTTGCATTCAACACTTATGTGGAGCCCCTGTCCCTGCGTCCCTGGCCCCTCTTGCCTATCCCAAGAACGCAAACAGACATGCAGGCTGTGTGTGAGGGAGTGGGGCTAAAGCAACAACCCAGAGTCGGCCTCCACCCATCACAGGTACACAGGCCTGGTCCCCCCAGAGTCGGACAAACTAAAGGTTGTGATTTTGGAATGATGTCGTTGGACTGGTGCAGCTTTGTGCATGGACACTCAGGCCAGTTTAAACCCGGCTTAAAGCAGTTTAGTTTGCACTGCTAAATTCAGACCTTGGCCACTGATGCTGGCATAGCTACATCAGTCAGAGGTGTGAAAACACCCATCCCCCAGGGTGACACAGCTACCCCAAAAAGTGTAGTTGCAGCTGTGCCAGCAGAAGAGTGCATCTATTGGCAGAGCTAATGTCCTTCAGGGAGGTGGTGTTCCTTCCCTTGCAGAAGCATTCCTTCTGTCGGCATAGGCTGTGCCTACACAAGGGGGCTATGTGGCCATAGGCATGTAGGGCAGACAGAGCCCTTGTCCACACTAGAAAAGTATTGCTGGCATAGCTATATCCACACAGCTAGATCACAACAAACCCTTCGAGCAGTTCAGATTGGCATACAAGCACTTCTACCGGGATAGCATACAGGAGTGCCCTGACAGACAGTGATTCCTGCCAAAGCACTTCTTGTGCTGTTAGACATGCATCTACACTAGAGTTTATACCAGCACAGCTATGTTGGTAAAATAAAAGTCACTCCTCCCCACCCAACCAACATAGCGATGCTGGTACAAGCTTAAGCCAGGCCTTGCAGGCACACAATAACCTGAGGCCATGTCTACACTACAATAGCACAGCTAGGGCGCCGGAGTTATGGTGCTGCAGCATAGACACTTCCTACAGCGACAGAAGGAGCTTTTCTGTCACTGTGGGAACTCCACTTTCCTGAGCGATGGCAGCTGCATTGGCAAAACCATTCTTCCGCTGAGCTAGCTGCATCTACACCCAGGTCATGTCGGCAGAGCTACAACACTATGGATTTTCTCACCCCTGAGTGATGTAGCTATGTCTACCTAACTTTTAAGTGTAGCCCAGGCCTGGTATAATGAGTTTTAAACGACTGTAAGAGAGAACGCACATGGAAGTTGCACTAGCTTAACTGCTCTGATTTAACTTAGCAGTGCAACTTCTGGGGCTAGACAAGCCTGAAGGGTTTCCTAACAAAATCTGCCCTGGGAGGAGAGGGCCTCCTCTGCATGTAACTTGGCATATTTCATTCGTTAGCAGCCACCCTGTGTCTCCCACTGGGACTTCCTCACTCAACCCATTCCACCTGTCACTGCCACAGGGCCAGAAGCTGCAGGCTACACTGGAATGGGCTCTGGCCACCCCACTCTGCAAGCTATCGGCCAAGAAGAAAGATGCCTCTGTCCCATCTCCCCAGGGTGCGTGCCATGGGGATTGGGGGCGGGGGGCAGATATCGGATCAGGCAAACATATAAAGAAACAAGGGCTTCAATAGCCTCCCACCAAACGTTTCCTCCCAATTTACATCCCATCCCCTGATCAGCTGACTTTTAGTCTCTCTCTCACATACACCTTCCTTTTTTACTCTGCCAACTGAAACGCCCAGATCTCTGCCTTGCCCGTCCCCGCGGCCCAGCTGCAGCGGGCTGTATCCGAGAAGCCACCTGCCCGAAGGCCTTTCCCTGGCCTATCCGGGGCAAGGGGGAAGGCGCAGAGATCAGCAGCAGCATGGGACGGGAAGAGCCCGCCGGTCGAAAGGCCTCTCCCAGCACCTGCCTCCCGCAGCTAGGACCCCGCCGCCGGGCTCTGCACTTTCAAAGGAACCGAAAATAAAACAAGCGGCCGAGCGCTGGGGAGCCTGCGGCTCGCCACGGAGCGGGCGCGGCTAAAGGCGAAGCTGGGGCCGGGGGAGAGGCAGAGAGGCCAGCGCCCCGGGCCCTTCCCCATCCCGGCTCAGAGCCAGCTCCCATACCGCAGCCCGGGAACTGCCAGGGGCTCCTGGAGCCGGGGCTCCCCGCCCTCACCCCCGGGGCAGCGGGCCGCTGGAAGTCCCAGTGCGTCGCGGCTACTGCTCGCACGGGGCAGGGGGCAGGGACCGGCCAGCCAGGAGCTGTGTAGAAGGCCGGGGTCTCCCTCGCCAGGCAGACTCTGCTCGGGGTGCCGCACCCCCCCCCCCGGAATGCGGGGCTCTAGACCTGCCCATCTGTCAGGGTCCCGCCGGAGGTGCCCCGTGTCCAGCCCCTGGCGGCTCTCCAGCGGGTCTGCATCCGGCAGAACCGGACACCGTCTCCGGCTGCGGCCCAGTTCTCCGGACCGAGCCCCGGAGCTCGCTGCCCCCCGATTCTCGCTTTCCCAAGCTGGGCGGAAAGCGGAGCCTGTCACACGATCCCCAGCTCCAGGGAAGCAGCGCCTGGGAAACCGCCGGCTGCTAGAGCCCCGGCGCGTTAGCAAAGGAGCGGGGCGGGTGCAGACTGGTGAAAAGTTCCATCTCTGCTGCGCTTGCGGAACGGGGCCGCGAACGGATCCCACAGGAAACCCAGGCAGGGGGAGCCCAGGAGAACAAGGGAGCAGAAAAGCATCGAGGGCAAAGGAAAAGCGCATTGAGCTGGGTTTAACTGGGAAAGGGCGGAATTAGCAGGGGGTGCGCGCCCCAAGATCACTAGTAAGCGAAAGAAAAGGGCCCCCTCCCCCAAACAAGCGTCGAAGCATTGGGAAAGGACAGGAGACAGGACACAACCTCCCCCCAGCCCCAGTGATAAGATCTCTCCCCTCTCCTTAGAATGAGAAACACTGTCATAGACTCGTAGGGCTGGAAAGCAACTTACTGGGAGCCCGGCAGGTAGACGGTTCCTGGTAATGCGCGGTTCCCAGCAGTGATGCAGCCGAAGGGGTGTAATTCCAGACGCCAAAGCCCTTTTACACAGACGCGGGGGTAAGATTTTTGTTTATTTATCTCGGGGGGGGGGAGTAAAGCAAAGCCAAGCCCCCGCACGATGTGATCTGCAGCAGCCCCTCGCCTGGTCCTCGAGTCCCTTGGCCGCTTC